CCATTCAGTTACCAGGTCTGGGTCATAGGAGAGTATGTGCTACTACACTCTGGTCTTCTAAATGTTTTTTAGCAAGTGTGTAGAACCGAAGAGAGAACTATGTTGAACACCGGCATTGAACGATTGAGTTTCCAGTGACTGGCCATTTAACAACGACTTTCCTACCTGTTAGGAAGGATTTGATAACAAATAAAGCCATTCCAGAGATTCCATAGCTGGAGAGTTTATGTAGAAACTCCCGATGTCAGGATTTCTCAAATGCTTTGATATATATCTGACAATGGTCCCCGCGATGAATTTATTGTCTAGTTCCTCGTTGTTTCTGTTAGTAACGACAGTTAAGACATGTTAAGACATGTAGACTTAACTGGTTGAAATCCATGTTTATCGCAACACTCTTGTCGATTATAGATTTTGATGACACTAATGAAACTAATGTGCGAATATTGCGTCTGGCATGAGCGCTCACCGGCATTCTTAAAAAACAGGGTACACCTTTTTGACACCTTTCATAAATTTTGGAAGCATCTCTCTTTCAAGCAGCGTTTGAACATTTTTGCCAGTCTGGGGTAATATTATTAAGAACAAACAGTGGGACTTCTTAAGACATTTTAAAACATGTGGCTTTTTAGAGTTGAGGTTTTTAATATGTCTGGAAACCTCGGGATATAGATATTACATCGGGATTTAGATTTTACAATGTTTAAGAGGAAAGTATCAGGAGTAGTATTTCATTAGTATCGCTGATTTAGTCTTCGCCTCTCTTACGTGATCTACGGTATGTTTTTTTAGAGAATCTGGCCGTAGTATCGTTACACAAAACTTTGCTCTCCTCGTCTGGTTATATGACTAAATCAATTTATGCCCCGTCTTCTGATCATGGTGATTATCTCAGTCTTCATATTTAGTTTTCATTTATAATTTCCATTCTGTATCTGATTATTTTTTTAGCATATGTGAAATTAATTTTTGTATCATATTCTTGTGTATTTTGTTAAATATTCTTGTCAATGAAGTATCATAGTATGCATAAATATTTTTATATTCATCTTTAATACATGTAATGGCTTAAATAGGAAAATCACGTTTAAATATTTTCATATTTACATATACATGCAAAGTTGTTTTTCAGTTCAATTTTTTAAGTTATTTACATAATCCCAAACAGATGCTTGTACAATTCTTGACTATATAATTTGCCATTTCTTCCTGTTCAAGACAATCTTTCTAAGTTGTTGTACTTATATATCCATTGATGGTGTTGTCACTAAAGCATGCTGGGAGGAAAATAGGATGAAGATAGGAAGTGTCCTGTTTTTATAGCTGCTTAATAACACCATCGAATGACTTCTTGGCAAATCTATGTGGAGATAACTCTCAAAGTGTCAGAAGTGGTATTCCAGTGTGCTCTCTGATTTGCTCTTTCTATCTCTTAGGTGGTCTAACATGTGGTCTTTTGCTAAAGATGTAGGTTCTCTACACAAAACCTTGCTCCCCTTGTCTGATTATATGACCAAATCAATTTAAGCTCTGTCTACTGATCAATGTGATTTTTCCAGTCTTCGTATTTTTATTTTGCTTTACAGTAACCATTTTGATTCTCTCACTGATGTTTTTGCCAGCCATGGTTCTGTGGAAGCACCTTTCGAAAACTGAGAAATATTATATGTTCTCTTTTCTCATTATAAATGTTTCACAGGTATCAGTTGCTATGGGGACGATCTGAGCATAGTCGAGTTTGGCTTTGATATAGTATAGAATGTCTTTTCTGTTCCAGAACTTTATTTCAGTCATCTGTGATATTCTTTGCTTCATACCACCAGATAGAAAAATGATCCAAGAAAGAAGAAGTTTTCAGTATTTTCAAAAGCTTCACCATCTAGAATATTATTGTTTTCGTTTCTCTTTACTTTGCTTTTCTTATTTCTTGCAAGAATTTTCACGTCCTTTTGTAGACAATTTCCGTGTTGCAAAGGTGTTTGGTTATTGCATTCCAAAATGCGGATCAACCTGCAGGCTTTCATTCATGACATGCCACTTACTTCTTTCTAATGTCGAAAAAACGTGAAAAAAAATCGGTGGCCTGTTTTTGCACTGATAGACTGATCTCACGTTTATAAGTTTATAATAATCAGTATTAACAATATTTACTGCCCTAAATTTCCGAAACATTTCAATGAAAATATCCGTCATCCAACAGGAATCGAACCTGTATTCTACACGGAACCGTCATATAGCCTGACCATGCTCTACCAGCTTATCGAAGGAAAGTCTGGTTACCAAGGTCGATTTACTACATATATATATATATATGTAGTAAAGGTAATATATCCGTTGGTATGTACTCCAAGTGGATCCTAGTAACAAAAAATATTAAAACTGATCCACAAAAAGAGCTCAATATATTTATTATTACAGAGCCAAAATTAATACACAATAAAATCCAAACTCACCTCATATGAGGAATTTGGACCGAAGAAAAAAAATAATTTTTCAGACT